CGTGAGAGGATAATCTTGCTGTTGCCAGAGGTCCAATATTTACAAACTATAAAAGGTCGCGGGGCCACTGCCGTTTTATAGGAATGGGCACTGCCACTGCCTTCTTGGAGGATTATAGGAATGGGTGGTGCTGGATAGGGATTGTGCAAGAGGATCCGGATGGTAGGTACGGTTCTGGTGAAATTTGAAGAATTTTAATGGATTATGGTTTAGGACAAATGGGGTATTAAGGTCATGGTGTAGGGTTTTATTGGTTACATAGAAAGGAGCATCGACTATTGTTCCATAGACTTTGGACTGGAAGGAACGGATGCGTTTGATGTTAGAAAAATTTTCTGTTCCTCACAGTTCAAGTCCGTAAGTCCAAGTAGATTTCAGTATTGTCTTGTAGATAAGCATTTTATTTTCAATAGAGAGTTTAGATTTTCTGTTTAGTGGTGTGTATAGTTGGCCGCATCGTCGGTTAAATTCCTGTCTTTTAAGTCTAGTATGAGGGTTCCACGTTAGTCGTCTGTCTAAGGAAAGCCAAGGTACCGGACTGTGTCTGAGAAAGGAAGCTGAATGGAATTAAAGTGTACTGGTGGACATGAACTGCGTCGGAGTGTGAAGGTGATGTGTTGGCATTTGGATTCGTTTACTTTAATGAGCCATTTATTACACCAGTGCTCAATCAGGGAGAGGTGTCTTTGAGGTTTAAGGATGCTATATCAGGATCTGAGTCGGAAGATAGAACGGTGGTGTAATCAGAAAATCGGCGGTAATGAGGATGTAAAGGATGGGATCCAAAACGCAACCTTGAGGAATACTAGCTTCAATTGGATAGCGATTGGAAAATTCAGTGCTGCAGCGAACTCTGAAGGTACGAGCAAAGAGGTAGGAGCGGAGGACAAGGTACAAAGACTGAGGCAGATGGGTTTTATGTTTGAAGAAAAGCCTGGCGTGCCATGCCCAGTGAAAAACTTGAGCTATGTCCAAAAATGCACCCGAGCAATATTGCTTGCTTTCCAGGGCTGCGGAAATATGATTGATCACTCGAAGACCTTGTTGGACTGTGGATTGTTAGGAACGGAATCTGAACTGACGTGAAGGAAGATGTTGAGATTCTATAATGAGTAGGATTAGTTTCAGAAGGATCTTTTCAAGGAATTTTGAAGAGATTGGAAGTAGGCCAGTGGGTCTGTAGGAAGTTAAGCTGTTGGGAGGTTTGCCTGGTTTTGGAAATAGGATAATAGTAGAATATTTCCATGAAAGAGGAAAGTGTGTGGTTCGTAGGATGCTATTGTATATGTATGCTATGTAAGGAATATGACAGCTTTAGAAGGGAGTTGTTTAAGGATCTGAGAGGTAAGGAGGTCATATCCAGATGTTTTGCGAGTAGGTAGTTTTTGTAAGTGGTATTTGACCTCAGAAGGATTAACTGCTTTAGGCTGTAAGGAGAGTGGGATAGGTGAATTTAGGAATTCCTCAATTGCTGACATGTTGAATTCCGAATGAGAGGTAAATGTAAGGGAAAAATGTTTGACGAATTCCTCGGCTCTATCTTCGTCAGACGCTGCCCAAGAGCCATCATCTCGATGGAGGGGATGTGATATATGATGGGGTTTTAGGATTTGTTTGGTCTTCCATAGGGAATTGTCTGAAGCAGAGAGGGAAGTAAGGTAGGAGTTGAAGGGTTGGGATCTGAAGGTGGCCAGTTCCTGCTTTAATTGTTTTGCAGAAATAATTATAGGATTGGCGATCGGTGGGGTGTCTAGTACGTTATAATAATCTGGCACGTTTGGTGTGGATTAGGTCTATGAGGTGTTAAGGTAACTTATATTTCTTAGGAGTTCTTGAGAAGTGGTTTGGAGAGGAAGCAGTCCAGATTGCTTGTTGAATAATGGTGGTAAAGAAATGTACACCATGATCAAGGTCTTCTGGAGTATTCAGGATTATTCTGAGGTAAATTTTATCATAAAGGATTTGGTGAAAGAGTTCTCAGTTAACTGGGCCTCAGATGAAGGACGGTGGAAATGGCTTAGGAATAGGAGCAAGAAATAATTTGAGTAATAATGGACTATGATCTGAGGAAAGTTCGTCAAGACGGATAAGGGAATGATTTAAGATTCTTGTAAATTTGGCAGCCTTTGTAGTTGGCCGGGTGTATAGTGCACACAAGCATAGTGCACACACTGCAGGATCTTGTATCGGTTTGGCGCACTCCAGAGATTTGTGTTGTTCTCCGCATTTCACGCAACCCGTGTGTTAATTCTTCAATAACTTCCGGGGTGGCCGGTTGGGGCAAGATCTGAAAACTGTTTTTAGAAGTTCAAACCTTTGTTAACAATAGGATCAATCTAATTTTTAGAACGATTTCGGGCAATTTTCGAAATGGACCAAAATGTCTTGCAATGTTTTTTTTTTTTGTTTTTTTGTTTTTTTTGTTCTTCTCTACCTCGATACGATATTTTCCCGGGCCGGATGGTGAGAGTGGGGAATTTAAAATCCCCTCTGGCACCGGGACGCTAACTCGTACTTTTCTTGTCTCTCAAATCTTCATACATCTGGTTCCCAGGCAACTCGCGGTGCTGTGCACACGCTTTAGCCCATTCGGCCACCCAATTGTTTGAAACGTCGTAACAGCTATGTTTATTTATAAAAACCGATATTTCAGCTATATTAAGATTCACTTGAAGTACCTAATTCTCCACAACACATACCGTTAGGTTTGAACAGAACTACCTGCAAACCAGTTCTAAATATAAAAAAAGATGTATTTCATTTCTTCTACTATTGTCTCACACCAGGGAAGGGGAAACAATATCAAGCTTCCAAATTTTAACTTTTGTTTTTTCTTCCAATTTCCAACAATAGCTCGCACCAGTGTGTGGCAGTGTATTTATATTTCATATTATTAATCCCACCTTTTTGTTATTTTCAATTCGTGTGGTCTTAAGCACACATCGTCAGTACGCCATATCTTCATTAATCTTTCGTCAAATCCCAGATTAAATACTCATTGTAAAGACTTTATTTCCTTCAGGTGGGAAAAACAGTCATATTCTCTCAAAATTTCAGAGGAAAAAAAGTTATGAAGAGAAAAAAACTTTATTTGCGAATGATTAAAATAATATACATTTTATTGTTTATTACATATATTATTATTTGAAAGATTATTAAATTTTCTATAAAAAAAAAAAAAAAAAATCAGACTAGCAAAGATACAGCTGATTATAATTTGTAAACATGTTGGTTACAATCATAAATGAAGTTTTATTAAATTAATTTTATTTTCCTTGGTCGATTTAAATTACCAGATAAATAAGAATTGAAACTTTTATCTTATGCTATATTGTATTATGTTATTTTATTATAATTTTGTCATTTGTTGACTGTTCAATGCATTATAGGAATTACTCACAGGTTAGCGCCTCGGACTCTCGCCCTGGTAGCCACTTTCCAAGGCCGCACAGATTATAATCATAATAGAATAATTATTCGTATGGATCAACTAGTGCCATATAATATGACGAACAAAATCAAATACAAATTAATACCACTTAATATAATAAATACTATTATCTATAATATAAAATCTTACAACTAATTAAGTTAGTTGATTGGGCGAAATAAGATTTAAACAATGAGTAAAGCTATTTTGGAGACAGAAAAATAATTCAGTAACAATTGATTTTTAAGGTTTTAATATACTACTGACTTCGACTAATCTCAGACCACATGAACAATTAAATTTCTTTCTACAGTTGCAGTCATAGGCGCGGAATTTTGATTTTGATTGGAGGGAAGGAGGGGGAAGGTTGATGGATCAAAAAATGAAAAATGGCGAGTTTTTTTATTATATGTAATACTTCTACGTTCTTATCTAACATTCTGTTACAGCGTCTCCTACTCTTTGCAGAGCAGAAGCTTGGTTCCTACCAATGCTGTTTTAGACAAGGAAGTTCTACAGCAGATCAAATATTCTGCCTCAGAAGAATCCACGAGAGATGAAATGAATATCAAATTAAAACCAACCATCTGTTTGTGGCCATCAAGGAAGCTTACGACAGCTTTAACAAGGAAGAGCTGTACAAGAAACTTTATGGCTTTAATATGTCAGGGAAGTTAATACAACTTGGAAAGCTGACCATGATAGAAGTGTACTGTACGGATTGTTGGATAAAGAATGGATGAGAACTTCTCCAAGGTGATGCGTTAACATGCCTCCTGTTTAACTTGGCACTTGCAAACTGACAATACTGTTTATGATCGGATAGTTCATATATTTGGGGTCATTGCTGAGTCACTGGAGTAGAGCTACTGCTGCAGAAATGAAGTACCTCCGGAGAATAGCAGGCAAAACAAGGAGGGGCCGAATTAGGAATGAAAGGATACGAGGAGACCTGGGAATGCCAGCTTTGAGGGAAACAGTCGAAAAGAGGCAGTTGGAATGGTTTGGTCATCTGTGCAGAATGAATGAGGACGGTGATCCAAAGAAGTTTTTTCGAGGCCAGGCCTTCCGGACATCGTCCTTGAGGAAGACCTAGATTGCTATGGATGGATCACATCTCAAGTTTTGGTGAAAAGAAGGTGAAGCATATCAAAACAATGAAAGAGCTGGCTGGGGATAGTGAGGTTTGGCAGTCCTGGATCGGGGAACCTCCACGCTGCGGGGCACTAAGGAGGATGATAAAGAAGAAGAAAAAGAAGAAGGTGACTCACGGTAATATACCAGAGGTTGTGGTGAAGAGAAGAATACTGATAGCAAACAGATGGTACTTCAGCCTCCACCCAAGGGGAGCGAAAAGATATTCTTGGTCCTTTAATATTTTTATTTGGGGGTAGGGTCGCTCCTCCCATCCACCCGAAGTCTGCGCCTATGGTTGCAGTAACAAACATTTTTGTTTTATAATAATATTTGAAGAAACTGGCGAAGAAAGGAGGTTTAATTTCTTTTACTAACTTGACACGATGACAAAGTATTCAATATCAACCAATATTGTATTTTCATGCATCACTTCTTCATATTTGGGTAAAATATATGAACAACTCCATCACAAGAATGGTAGTTAAGATACTTCAACATTTTATTCCCTTGAAGAGAACCCTGTGAACAAAAAGTAGAACAGTTACCTTGATTGCTGATATTCCACAATAATAAGAACCAGTGATTCTTGTAAGTTAAATATAAATCTGCAAAGAGTATAATGAAATGAGTGAAGAAACCGATAGATATCACAAATTTATACATATCCTCTTAAAAATCTCAATAGGTACCAGAGATGATATTTTAAACATGCTAACTTTTTATAAATTAGATTTTAAAATAATTGTGAATAACTACCTGCCAACTAAATTCTAAATTTTCTTAGACGTATTGAACTAATCTAAAATGAATCATCTTTAACAACAATATAATACAGTAATCATTGGCAGTACCTATAAAATTAAAACTGCAAATTTTTATAAGAACTTTAAAAAAATTATTACCATTAACAAGTATTGACAATGAATAGTATAATATATAGTTTTTAAAGATCTTTGTAAGGCTATATTCTTATAAATTAGCTTTCTGAATTCCCTAAAAAATGAAAAAAAAAATCTAATTCGATGACACTTATGTTTGATGAAATATTTTCACTTATATTTTGATAAAATACAACTTTCAGACCAAACAACTTACACACCATGACCCAACCCGTACACTAATGTTAAAATTCAACCAACACATTAAAAACTTACTAGAGACCAAACAAATTAACCGTCCCACTTACTACAACCTTATATCTTACAACTCCTTAGAACCCCGCTTATATGGACTTCCAAAAATTCACAAACCTGGAAATCCCCTCAGCCCTTTCATCTCCAATATTAACGCCCCCTCAGCTAAACTCAGCAAATTTCTTTTATCCTCTCTCCAAAAACTTAGTCACAATAATCCTTATGACATTAATAATTCATTCCACCTTAAAGAAGAATTATCTTCTCTCTATATTCCTGACAAATTTATTCTTGTTTCCCTAGACGCCGAAAGCCTTTTTATCAACATCCCAATAGACAAAGCCGTTGTACAGAAAAACTGGACAAACATCGAACCTCACACCACCCTTAACCTCTCCTCATACCTTGAGCTTTGTCGCAGATTCGGATTCTTCACCTTCCAAGGAAAATTCTTTAATCAGATTTCAGGCCTAGCCATGGGAAATTCTTTAGCACCAAATATTTCCAATATTGTTCTCAATGACCTTTTAGACTCTGTTATCCCTTCTTTTCATCAAGACATCATTTTCATAAAAAAATATGTCGATGACCTTCTCCTTGTTCTTAACTCTGACAGCATCCCTCAAATTCTTTCCTCATTTAACTCTTACCACCCCGTCTCCGTTTCACTATAGAGAAAGAAGTTAACAATTCCCTTCTCTTCTTAGACCTCCTAATAATAAAAAACACTGATGACTATGTTTGTACTGACTGGTACACTAAACCCACATACTCAGGCAGACTACTCAACCCTCTCTTTATCCGATCCACAATACCATCAAGCCAACACTAAGCGTGTCATAAATATACTCCTCTCTAATAATGTTCCTCTCAACACCATACAAAACTTTTAAACTGCGATACAACCAAAAAGAGTACAACCTCCCCTTCTCCCAATTCCCCACAATCATCTACCACTCCTTTCATATAGAAATCTCTCCCCTATATTCCTATTTACTCAGATAATAAAATTCCTTAAATCGACTATAACCAACTTCGTCTTGCCTTAAGTCCCATAACAAACTTTCTTTAATTTTCACCAAGTTGAAGGATCCCATACTCTTACAACACCGATCTAATGTAGTTTACCAGATACCTTGCTCTGCTCCTAATTGTAATAGCTCCTATATTGGTGAAACCAAAAACCATCTCAAAACCCGCATTTCCCAACATAAAACATCCATAACTTCCTGGAACCCTTCCATCTCCAAACTATCAGTACATACCTTAACCCTCAACCACTAATTTGATTTTGAAAATTATTTGTAATTATTGAATAATTGTACATATTATAAATAGATTTAAAATACAGAGATCTTCTGGATGGATTTGAAATGTAGCTCAGTATTAATTATTAAACTCAAAATTTTTAGTGGTAAATGAGAAATTAACTTACGTAATGCCTTGGCAGCAGTACATATCACCATGACAGCATGTGACACCTGCTTGACAGCATCTTCTAGGAGTGGAGCATCGTATGTAACCCAGAGGTGGAGGCTTTCCTGACATTAAAATATAATATTAATAATCATAATAAAAGAAATGGATAACCCAAAGGTTCGTTGCCAATATCACCACTCCCTGTCTTCACACCTCCCTTAAATGTTTACCACACCGCCCAGAATATATTAGCCTTATTAGAATATGTTAGGGATTCTGAGTATTTCCGTTGAAAAATTTGTGAACATTTTCACAATCACCATATTTTCCCTTACTGCATATTTTGTAGAAAAGTAAGTGAAAGTAAAAATCATTGCTGAACAGGTAAGGAAAACATATTCTTATCTAAGAATTGAATTTTTTTTTTAAATCTCCAAAAGTATTTAGTTTTTTTATGCATTAGAAAAATAGCTTCAAAACTTGAAAATCTCAAATACTACAGCATATTCCTAAAATTAACTAAAAATTCTTTAAATTGATGAATGAAAATTTTGGAATGTATAATATAAATTTTAACTTGATTAAAAAATGAAGTTTTCATTATTATTTTTAATAAAAGTTAAATATATAAAATTGATCTGGTCTATATAATATATATGTACCAATAATTCCTTCCTTATTTTCTATCTTCAAATCTACAATGTTCTGCATTATCTCATTCCCTATATATCAGAAGATTGACCAATTTATCAATTTAAACAAATATATTTGATTAGCTGTCAGTTAATTATTGAGACCTTATTCTGTATAGAGAAAAATTAATAGATGTTTTATCCAAGTGTTTTATGTTGTTGTTAAGTGATAGAAAAGGATATTAAGTCAATGTCTTTTTTTAAATTTTCTTTTGTTAATTCATTCATGGTATTTATAACTGTATTAAAAAAAAAATACATCTATTAAATGTGCACTCAGGAATATAATAATGTGAAATCTCTTGTTAGAAGCTGGTAGTACTCAAATAATAAATTTACACAAAGCCACCTTCTTTTCAGATCCCTCGGAGGGTTATCAGGGATTGAGAAGGAACCAAGGTTTGAAACAAGATGGTTAGGATGGTTCTGAAGTTTGTTAAGGAAGCATAGGTATTTGGATTGGGCCAAATCGGAAACATATGGAACATTAAGATCGTTATGGATGATTTTATTTGTGACAAAGTAAGGAGCGTTGAGGATTTTACAAAGGATTTTGGGTTGTAAGGATCGGATACGAGAGGAATTCGATGGTTCAATGGAGCCCCAAAGTTCAATTCTGTAAGTTGAAATAGGTCTTATTATTGTCATATATATGAGTCTTTTGTAATTGATTGAAAGCTTAGAGCGTTTGTCTAGGAAGTGCTGGAGTAGTCGGAAATTTCGAGCTGTTTCTTGTCATTTAAGTCTTGTATGAGGATTCCACGTGATTCATTTGTCCAGTTGTGATTCATTTTATAACATAATATTTTGGTAAAAATTAATGCCAAATTTATGTATAACTAAATTTTTGAATATCAAACGTATTCAATCCTTCCAGTCCAAAGTACTTTGAACAATAGTTAATGCTACATGTTATGTCACAAACAATACAATACACCATGACCTTAACATCCCATATGCCCTTGAGATCGTCCCATTCTGATGTACAAAATTTCACCATCCCAATCCTCTTGCTCAATCCCTATCTAGCTCTAACCATCCCTTTAATCCTCCCCGGAGGTTGAAACGGCAGTGGCCATGAGACCTTTTATAAATATGCTAATGAAGTCCTGGCAATGGCCAACTTCTGCACTCAATGTCTGGATGTTTGTGGTTCAAGTGCCCTCTCTCAGTCTCCACTGGCCTCCAGTCCAATGATGCGGCTGGAAGAGAAGCGCTGGGACATCCTGGAGCTAAGCTTTGGCTTCCACACGTGGAAGACAGAACCTGACTCAGAGTCTCTTAGGCAAATGTAAATATTGTATAGATAGGTGTGAATAAGCTTTAGAAGAATTTTATTTACTTATTAAATCTTTTTTTTATTTATTTATTGATTTTATTTTTTACTATTATTATTATTTTTTGTTTTAATTACCTTAATTTATTTTTCTGATATATTGAATGAGTGGATACTTTTAGCTCTAATCCTTACTGCCTTTGAATGTTGCAGATTGTGTTAATATTCAATAAATAAATATTTAAAAAAAAAAGATGCTACTAGGACCTAAAGAAACTCCTATCATTAAAGAGCCTTAAAGATTGTTTGTCTGAAGAAAACTAATTTTCTGATCTCTTAATAAGCGATTCAAAATTAAGTTTACTAAAGACCACAAAAATTGGACGAAATAAGAATGGAACAAATTTTGAAAGTGGTGAGTCAAAATAATTCGAAAAAAAATTCCACTGCACACTGAGCATGCATATCACTACTCACAGGCGGATCTACGGGAGGGGGGGGGGGGCTTTCGGGCTGAAGCCCCCACAAAATGGTAAAATATAACTATGTTTTATAGAAAAAAATATTAAAAACTATCTTTCAAAGTATTATTCTTCATATAATTACATTTAATAAGACTTCAAGAATCATTAAGACACCATTTCATACGGATAGTTAATTTCTTTATTTTTTTTTTCAAATTAATTATCGTTATATATATGAAAAAAAAAATCCTTCGGGCTGAAGCCCCCACCAAAATTAAATCCTGGATCCACTAGTGTCACAACTGATTCATTTTCGACCTGGATAAGCATTTTTATTATTTTCTCCTTTATTCAAATATCAAATTCTTAGCATTATTATATTTAGAGATGATTAATTATATAAAATAAATCATATTAAAGGTACTTTAAAGGCAGACGTATATTAACCTTGGGCATTTAAGCCTCTCTTGCTTTGATAATTATTAAAAACAATTAAGGCCAGTATAGCTTTCTCACCGTTTGCATTGGCTAAAAAATATCTATATTACAAGGTGTAAAATTTTTCGTGTAAGAATAAAATCTCTGGAAGAAGCCGTTTTCGGAAATTCAGTAAACCCTCAACATATACGCTTTTGAAATCCACGAGTTTTGTTCATCTCGAGTTTTATTAGCGAATACTAAAATGCGAAAAAGATCCGCATAACTAGATTGCATATTTGCTGATTTGGGATTAAAATCCAGTGCGTAATGAACATGAATATCACTACTGTTTGTGCAAAAGATTGTATGTGATCATTGATTGTTTTACAGGAAAACACAAAAACTAATTGTTTCGTTATGATTTATTGGTATATTTTCATAATTTATTGCCCTCGTAGCAGAATGCTTTATATCAGTTGTTGAATACGAAATGTCACCTTTAGCACAAATAAAATTAAAATTATGGGTGTTACTACAATAAATTTGATTACTGTTTTCTAACTCTAATGGCTCTAAAAGATTTTTTGGCAGAAACATGATCAAAAAAGTTCAAATATAGCATTACATCTTTCCCTTAAACCGGAAAAAAAAAAAAAAAAATGAACCGAAAATGTAATGTTCTTAGAATAAAAATTACGTAGTTTTTTTCTTATCTTGAAAATTTTTAGTTTTTGTTCTTACAGGCTTTTGCAGTGTGATTATCGATATATTACATCTAAAATGTCTGCAAGGTTAAATTGGTTTACAATTAAAAACATAAAAACACTATTAAATTGAAATATTTATCATTTTAATAAAAATTTGTCTTTTTCGAAGACTTTTTCACAGCACTGCATAAATATATATTTATAAATATAAATATTATTATTTTGAATAATAATATTCATATTCGCTTACCAGGTTCAGTAGATTTAATAATAACGTTGTCCACAGATAGCCTATGGTCGTGAAGACTGCGTTCAGATCCTTCTGCAACTCCTAGCCTTAGATGGACGCAAAATATAAGAGTCACAATGAGAAGATATCTTGACATGATTGCAAACTTTAGAAAATGGTGCCTCTTCTCTGAAATGGGAAGCTTCTAAATACTCTTTATCTTTGGGTTTATACGTTATTAAACCTAATTGTGGAATCAATCAATCATTTATAAATCTATCGTAGGATATGTTAATCTCCAAATATAAATTTTTTTGATTTATATAATTAAATATTTATGTTATCTCCGAGGATTGAATTGAATATATCCATTTATTTAGTTCATTGCAACATTTCGAGCTCATTTTCAAGTCATGAAAAAATTCTAATAAAATGTCCATTTATATTATTCTAATTTCTAATTAATATATTTATTAAAAAAATATATATTCTTCGCATTTAATAAAATGCATGTCAATTAAAAAAAAACCGCTCCTTCTTCTTATATTGTTTAAAATCAACTTAAGGATGTACTTTTTAATGTTACTTTAAAAACCTTCTTCGTCTTGTATCAAGAGACAATTTTGGAGTAAGAGACTCCATCGGCTAGTGTAGAGGTTTACCTTTTATATACCTAATAAATAAATAAATAAATTCAAGCAATCTCTTATCTTTTTATTTGTTAATCGAATTTTTCAAATAAATTTCGAATAATTTAACGGTTTGTTTTGTTTCGGTATAAGGATCTATTTGTATATTTTCGAAGCCGCAGTTTTTGAAAAGGATCTCCATTTTAAGATTACGCCACTGCGTTGTGGCTTATTTTAGTTTTTTGTATTTCTTCAATATAAATTTTTCTATTTATAAGTTTTCATTATCACTAAATTATACCGAAATTTGTTGGCGACCCTTTAATTTTGCCCGGCACACATTGGTTGTTTTATAGGAAAAAAATTTTAAAAATACCTCTTGAAGTATTATTGTTCGTGTAATTACATTTAGAAGTACTTAAGGAATAACTTAAACACCATTTCATATAGGTAGTTAGTTTCTTTCTGTTTTTCCAAAGTAATTATCGTTATTTTTATGAAAAAAAAGGTTTCGGGCTGAAGCCCCCCCCCAAAATTAAATCCTGGATCCGCTAGTGGTAGGGTTTGCATAATATTTCTTGGACTTCGGCTGTATCTTACTCGGAAATTACATTATGCTGCTCAATTTTTGTATGTGTATGTTTTTTGAGAGTATTGAATTTGAACTCGAGCCATTTAGTCGGCCAGATACATGTATTAAAGCAAATAAAGCAAAATTATAAAATGTTAATTTTATTTTTTCTGTTTAAATGTTATGTGAGTACACATGAAATATTACTGTTGTAACACAATAATCTTCTAGTATAAATAAGGTACTGTTGTATAATATTTACTGCATAATATTACTGTTGTAACACAATAATCTTCTAATATAAAATAATTATAAATCATATAAAATAATTTATGTATACATATAATTTAGTATAGAAAAGAATTTCATAAAAATAATTTTTAACACACTTTTAGAAAGGAAACTTTTCACTTTCTGTGATATTGTAAATTTAATCAGTTCCTAAGCTATATGATTAAATATGTCTCTGCTATTATCAATCATTGAATAGATAGATCTATAGGAACTAGAAAAGTTCAATCTGTCAACTTATATACTTACCCAAAATTTTCTTTGACGATTAAAAGTAAAATATTGTATTTATTCAAATGCTAGTAATATTCTGCAAGATGATAAGCAGTTCTGTTATCATTTTAATCCTTTAAAACAAATATTCTATAAATAAAATATTTGTTGACATTATCTCTGCACTTCTCTCTCACCGCACCACTGGGGCTAAACCCAGTGGAGATTGAGCTAGAGTGCTTTAGCCACATACACTCATGGCGTGAGAGGATAATCTTGCTATTGCCAGAGCTCCAATATTTACAAACTATAAAAGGTCGCGGGGCCACTGCCGTTTTAACCTTCTTGAAGGATTATAGGAATGGGTGGTGCTGGATAGGGATTGTGCAAGAGGATCCGGATGTTAGGTACGGTTCTGGTGAAATTTGAAGAATTTTACTGGATTAAGGTTTAGGACATATGGGGTATTAAGGTCATGGTGTAGGGTTTTATTGGTTACATAGAAAGGAGCATCGACTATTGTTCCATAGACTTTGGACTGGAAGGATAGGATGCGTTTGATGTTAGAAAAATTTTCTGTTCCCCACAGTTCAAGTCCGCAAGTCCAAGTAGATTTCAGTATTGTCTTGTAGATCAGTAATTTATTTTCAATAGAGAGTTTAGATTTTCTATTTAGTGGTGTGTATAGTCGGCCGCATCGTCGGTTAAATTCCTGTCTTTTAAGTCTAGTATGAGGGTTCCACGTTAGTCGTCTGTCTAAGAGAAAGGTACCGGACTGTGTCTGAGAAAGGAAGCTGAATGGAATTAAAGTGTACTGGTGGACATGAACTGCGTCGGAGTGTGAAGGTGATGTGTTGGCATTTGGATTCGTTTACTTTAATGCGCCATTTATTACACCAGTGCTCAATCAGGGAGAGGTGTCTTTGAAGGTATAAGGATGCTATATCAGGATCGGAGTCGGATGATACAATGGTGGTGTCATCAGAAAATCGGAGGTAAAGAGGATGTAAAGGATGGGATCCAAAACGCAACCTTGAGGAATACTAGCTTCAATTGGATAGCGATTGGAAAATTCAGAGCTGCAGCGAACTCTGAAGGTACGGCCAAAGAGGTAGGAGCGGAGGACAAGGTATAAAGACTGAGGCAGATGGGTTTTATGTTTGAAGAAAAGCCTGGCGTGCCATGCCCAGTGAAAAACTTGAGCTATGTCGAAAAATACACCCGAGCAATATCGCTTGCTTTCCAGGGCTGCGGAAATATGATCGATCACTCGAAGTCGTTGTTGGACTATGGATTGTTAGGAACGGAATCTGAACTGATGTGAAGGAAGATATTGAGATTCTATAATGAGTAGGATTAGTTTCAGAAGGATCTTTTCAAGGAATTTTGAGGATATTGGAAGTAGGCTCATGGGTCTGTAGGAAGCTGTTGGGAAGTTCGCCTGGTTTTGGAAATGGGATAATAGTAGAATATTTCCATAAAAGAGGAAAGTGGGTGGTTCGTAGGATGCTATTGTATATGTATGTAAGGAATATGACAGCTTTAGGAGGGAGTTGTTTAAGGATCTGAGAGGTAAGGAGGTCATATCCAGATGATTTGCGAGTAGGTAGTTTTTGTAAGTGGTATTTGACCTCAGAAGGATTAACTGCTTTAGGCGGTAAGGAGAGTGGGATGGGTGAATTAAGGAATTCCTCAATTGCTGACATGTTGGATTCCGAATGAGAGGTAAATGTAAGGGAAAAATGTTTGACGAATTCTTCGGCTCTATCTTCGTCAGACGCTGCCCAAGAGCCATCACCTCGACGGAGGGGATGTGATATATGATGGGGTTTTAGGATTTGTTTAGTGATCTTCCATAGAGATTTGTCAGGAGCAGAGAGGAAAGCAATGTAGGAGTTGAAGGGTTAGATAGATAGAAAAAGTAACTTTATTCTGGGACACAGTCCCTTGAGAATAACAATATAGAACAAAATTAAAATATTACATCTGGCCAAAATAAATCAATCAAAAAAAGAAATAATGTAAAAAAAATATAAGGTAAAAATTCTATATACAAAACAAACTAAACTATATACAAAACCATTAATACTATGACAAAACACTTAAAGCTATTTGCTCTTATAGACCAGTATACACTTTTCCGAAAAAAATAAAGAATTAAAAAATAAAAATGTGTCAAATTCTCTATTAAAATCCGCTCGAATGGTTAGCAAGTATCTGACTGTTTTTGTGATAGGAATTGGAATAGGAGGGATTTGAATGTGGATATGGAGGGGGAATGTCGAATTTTGATAGGGAGGGAATTCCAGAAATTGACAGAGCGAACAATAAAGGAATTTTGGAATGAGGCAGATCTGTGAGAGGGCATGTAAAGGTCAGAAGGTCGAGATCTTGTGGACAGGGAATGGACTGAGGATTTGAACTGGAGAAGGTTGTAGGCGTAAGAAGGACGATGGTTGTTGATGATTTGGTAGAGGAACGTACCTAGAAAATATTGTCTTCGGAAGGAGGGGAAGAGCCACCTTAACTCAGTGTAGGGTTGGGATCTGAAGGTGGACAGTTCCTGCTTTAATTGTTTTGCAGAAATAATTGTAGGATTGGCGATCGGTGGGGTGTCTAGTACGTTATAATAATCTGGCACGTTTGGTGTGGATTAGGTCTATGAGGTGTTGAGGTAACTTATATTTCTTAGGAGTTCTTGAGGAGTGGTTTGGAGAGGAAGCAGTCCAGATTGCCTGTTGAATAATGGTAGTAAAGAAATGTACACCATGATCAAGGTCTTCTGGAGTATTCAGGATTATTCTGAGGTAAATTTTATCAAAAAGGATTTGGTGAAAGAGTTCTCAGTTAACTGGGCCTCAGATGAAGGACGGTGGAAATGGCTCAGGAATAGGAGCAAGAGATAATTTGAGTAATAATGGACTATGATCTGAGGAAAGTTCGTCAAGACGGATAAGGGAATGATTTAAGATTCTTGTAAATTTGGCAGCCTTTGTAGTTGGCCGGGTGTATAGTGCACACAAGCATAGTGCACACACTGCAGGATCTTGTATCGGTTTGGTGCACTCCACAGATTTGTGTTGTTCACCGCATTTCACGCCACCCGTGTGTTAATTCTTCAATAACTTCCGGGGTGGCCGGTTGGGGCAAGGTCTGAGAACTGTTTTTAGAAGTTCAAACCTTTGTTAACAATAGGATCAATCTAATTTTTAGAACGATTTCGGGCAATTTTCGAAATGGACCAAAATGTCTTTTTTTTTTTTTTGTTCTTTTCTACCTCGCCGTTTAGGCTATACGATATTTTCCCGGGCCGGATGGTGAGAGTGGGGAATTTAAAATCCCCTCTGGCACCGGGACGCTAACTCGTACTTTTCTTGTCTCTCAAATCTTCATACATCTGGTTCCCAGGCAACTCGCGGTGCTGTGCACACGCTTTAGCCCATTCGGCCACCCAATTGTTTGAAACGTCGTAACAGCTATGTTTATTTCTAAAAACCGATATTTCAGCTGTCTTAGGATTCATTAGAAGCACCTAATTCTCCACAGCACATACCGTTAGGTTTGAACAGAACTACTTGCAAACCAGCTCTAAATATAAAAAAAGATGTATATCATTTCTTCTTCTATTGTCTCACACCAGGGAAGGAGAAACGATATAAGTTTGTCACAATTGCAGTCAAACTTCCAAATTTTAACTTTTGTTTTTTCTTCTAATGTTTAACAATAGCGTTAGATTGCACGAGTGTATTTATATTTCATATTATTAATCCCACCTTGTTGATATTTTCAACTCTTTCGATAACTGAAGACCATACTTAAGCACACACCAACAAGATGCCATATCTTCGTTAATCTTTTGTAAAATCCAGAATTGAGCACTCATTATAAAGACTTTTTCTCCTTCAGGTGAGAAAAGAGTCGTATTCTCTCGAAATATCAGGGGGGAAAAGTTATGAAGGAAAGAAAAACTTTATTTGTGAATGATAAAAAAAATATACATTTTATTGTTTATTACATATATTATTATTTGAAAGATTATTAAATTTTCTATAAAAAAAAAAAAAAAAAAATCAGACTAGCAAAGATACAGCTGATTATAATTTGTAAACATGTTGGTTACAATCATAATTGAAGTTTTATTAAATTAATTTTATTTTCCTTGGTCGATTTCAATTACCAATCAAATATAAATTGAATCTTTCATCTTATGTTATCTTATATTATTTTATTGTATTATCATTTTGCATTTGTTTACTGATCAATGTATTATAAAAATTATTTCCTCAGCCCAACTAATACGATATAATTTGACGAACAAAATCAAATACAAATTAATACCACTTAATATAATAAATACTATTATCTACAATATAAAATCTTACAACTAATTAAGCAGTTATCTAAATTACGATTATTATAAGTAAATGATATTTTGATGAAACAGGAAGGTAGTTGATTGGGCGATATAAGATTTAAACAATGAGTAAAGCTATTTTGGAGACAGAAAAATAATTCAGTAACAATTGATTTTTAAGGTTTTAATATACTACTGACTTCGACTAATCTCAGGCCACATGAACAATTAAGTTTCTTTCTACAGTTGCAGTCATAGGCGCGGAATTTCGATTCTGATTGGAGAGAAGGAGGGGGGAGGATGATGGATCAAAAAATGAAAAATGGCGAGTTTTTTTATTATATGTAAAACTTCTAAGTTCTTATCTAACATTCTGTTACAGCGTCTCCTACCCTTTGCAGAGCAGAAGGTTTGTCCCTATCAATGCGGTTTTAGACAAGGAAGTTCAACAGCAGATCAAATATTCTGCCTCAGAAGAATCCATGAGAGATGAAATGAATATCAAATTAAAACCAACCATCTGTTTGTGGCCATCAAGGAAGCTTACGACAGCTTTAACAAGGAAGAGCTGTACAAGAAACTTGATGGCTTTAATATGTCAGGGAAGTTAATACAACTTGGAAAGCTGACCATGATAGAAGTGTACTGTACGGATTGTTGGATAAAGAATGGATGAGAACTTCTCCAAGGTGATGCGTTAACATGCCTCCTGTTTAACTTGGCACTTGCAAACTGACAATACTGTTTATGATCGGATAGTTCATATATTTGGGGTCATTGCTGAGTCACTGGAGTAGAGCTACTGCTGCAGAAATGAAGTACCTCCGGAGAATAGCAGGCAAAAGAAGGAGGGGCAGAGTTAGGAATGAAGGGGTACAAGGAGACCTGGGAGTGCCAGCTTTGAGGGAAACAGTCGAAAAGAGGCAGTAGAAATGGTTTGGCCATCTGTACAGAATGGATGAGGACCGTAATCCAAAGAAGTTTTTCTGAGGCCAGGCCTTCCGGACATCGTCCTCGAGGAAGACCTAGATTGCTATGGAGGGATCACATCTCCAGGATTGGTGAAAAGAAGGTGAAGCATATCAATTCAATGAATGAGCTGGCTGGGGATAGTGATGCTTGGCAGTCCTGGATCGGGAACCTCCACGCCGAGGGGAACTAAGGAGGATGATAAAGAAGAAGAAAGTGACTCACGGTAATATACCAGAGGTTGTGGTGAAGAGAAGAATACTGATAGCAAACAGGTACTTCAGCCTCCGCTAGGAATCCATCTCTCTCCTATAAGACGAAGCTTCATCATTACTAAACATTAATCCGCCCAGTTGTGTTCTAGGGATCAGAAACATGGACAACTACTAAGAAAATTGAGCAAGATCTAGTCTTTGAGAGGAAAATTCTTCGATGAATTTTTGGAGGAATTTATATTGATGAAAGCTGGAGAAGGTGAACGAACATTGACATTTATTCAATTTTTGATGAAAAAGATATTATGATTATGAAAGATATCATAGTTATGAAAATGAAACTTGGAAGACTGTGAGGGGCTGACCATGTGGCTAGGATGGATGACAAAGCAATCCCTAAGATGGTTCTGACAGAACAACTCAGCACCATCAGGGGACCTCTAGACTCAGATGTTCAGATGGTGTAGCAAGAGACACAAGAGATATTCTGGGAGTCATGACTTGGATGACGGCTGTACATAGCAGGGACTACTGGAGGAAACTGATGGAGGAGGCCAGGACTCGTCACCGCGTTGCAGCGCTGTAATAGATAGATAGAATAATTATTGTGAAACCAGCAAATATAATATTGAATATTTAAAATTAATTTGTTTATATGTTTGTATAGTTTAAGGTTTTTTTTTTTTTGTTTTCCTTATTATATATACTTTAAAATATATTTAAAAAATATAATTAAATATATATAAGGTGTTTGTTTAGATTAAACACAGGAGGAAAGGAAAACAGCCTTCATAATATTGGTATATTTCAAGAACTTTTTCAGCTAAAAATGAATAATGTAAAAAAGTAAAAAATATTTTTGATTTATTAGTGTGAGTACAACCTGAAATAAAAATACGATGTTTTTCACAGTCCGAATAGTTTGAGGCAGAAAATGTGATAAGAACATCAAAATTGAGGGGTGTTAGAATCATAAAATCCTAGGATGTGTTTACATATATTATTCTCTTTAAATATATTTGACAATTTAAATAAAAGTAACATTTAGATATCAATAAAATAGTTACATACCTATTACTAAGCCCTAGCCTATTTGATTTTTCTTAATCAATTTAAGTGTACACATTGATACTTATTCATTCATGTAGCTTATTTATTCTTGATTTTAATTTCTTTTTACCTCAAATTAATTGAGGGAGCGAAAAGATATTCTCGGTCCTTCAATATTTTTATTTGGGGGTAGAGTAGCTCCCTTCATCCCTCCCCCCCCCCCCCGAAGTCTGCGCCTATGGTTGCAGTAACAAACATTTTTGTTTTATAATAATATTTGAAGAAACTGGTGAAGAAAGGAGGTTTAACTTTCTTTTACTAACTTTACACGAAGACAAAGTTCCCAATATCAACCAATCTTGTATATTCATTCACCAATTCTTCATATTTGGATAAAATATATCAACAACTCCATCACAAGAGTGGTAGTTAAGATACTTCAACAGTTCATTCCCATGAAGAGAACCCTGTGAACAAAAAGTAGAACAGTTACCTTGATGGCTGATATTCCACAATAATAAGACCCAATGATCCATATATATGTTATTATTACGTTATAACAAGATATAGTATGACAATAAGTTGTAAACTATTGATTAAAGGTATATCCATAAGGTGATGGGCCAAATCGCAAATTTAGTAGGAAATAATTCAAATCACTGAACAATGAAGTTATGAAGTACAGTTAAAAAAAAGTTAAATCTAAATCTTCAAAGAGTATAATAAAATGAGTGAAAAAACCAATAGATATAACAAATTTATACATATCCTCTTAAAAATCTCAATAGATACCAGAGATGATATTTTAAACATGCTAACTTTTTATAAATTAGATTTTAAAATAATTGTGAATAACTACCTGCCAACTAAATTCTAAATTTTCTTAGACGTATTGAACTAATCTAAAATGAAGTATCTTTAACAACAATATAATACAGTAATTATTAGCAGTGCTTACAGCAAATATTTATAAGAACTTTAAACAAATTATAATCCTTAACAGGTATTGCCAATGAATAGTATAATATATAGTTTTTAAAGATCTTTGTAAGATTATATTCTTATAAATTAGCTTCCTGAATTCCCTACAAAATGAAAAAAAAAATCTAAATCTATAATAGTTATGTTTGATAAAATATTTTCATTGCATGATTTCTTTGTTTTTTTTTTTTACTCTTATTTTTGGTTTATATTACTTAGGCGTGATCTATAAAAGCAAATTTATATTTGGCATGTAGCTATTGTACAATTTGTTAAAATGAAACAATGTACCAACCCAAGGAGCAAAGTGGATTCAAATATTTTCTCAAGGGGGGAAATTTTATTGTTATTATTATAATAAAAATATATGAAAATACAAAAACAAATATGTTCAATAAGCTTCATTTTATTCATTCAATTATTTAGTATTTGTAAACTTAAACAAAAATATAATTTTAGAATAATATATATATATATATATATATATATATATATATATATATATATATATATATATATATATATATATATATATATATATATATATATATGTATATATCGTAGTGTAAATATTTAATAGTGACTTTAATGGGTCAATAGTATTGTAAATAATGGTGGGAAAGCAGTAACATCACGAACTACTGTCAAAATACAACAAAGAACGGAAACAAAGAGGCGTAGAAAGACAGATGGAAGGGAAATCAAGCGCCATATGTCAAGGATAGAAAGTGACCAGCCGGAAAGGAGAAATAATCGAGACCATCAGAGAGTGACAGGTCGGTAAGTAGTAAAAACAAAATTTCCTTCCTTGAGAAAATATTTGAACCCATTTTTCTCCTTGGGTTGGTACATTGTTTCATATCAACATTGTACAATAGCTACATGCCAAATATAAATTTGCTATAATAGATCACACTTAAGTAATATAAACCAAAAATTAGAGTAAATAAAAAGGAGAAATTGCGCAATTAAAATGTTTTATCAAACAAATGTGTGTTGGATTTAGATGAGTTTTTTTTTTTTTTATTTCATTTTGTAGAGAATTCAGGAAGTAGTGAGGTGAGTACAGGAAAATAGAAGATTAAGAGAAGACACTTGTCGAAGCTGAATGCAGCAATACCTTCAACAACAATTGGAAGAAGATTCACTGCAGAACAGGGTGAGTGCAAAATAAATAGGGATAATTAGAAAGCATACCAAGAGTAGACCCCGACAAAACTGAATGGAAATCCATAAATGTTGTATATGGGTATAAATTTAATGTATGCTTTTATATTAGATAATTGAGGAATGTGTGCTTAATTGTTTCAAATAATGTGTAGTCTTTAAAATAATTATTGTGTGAAATAAAAATAATTTGGTTCAGAATTATTTGTTGAGTTATTTCAACTGTTTGTTTACTTTTCAATGGAAACATAACATTACAACATATTATAGTATAAATTATTATAAAATAAGGCTTATATTTGTATTCTAATATTATATATTTTTTTAAGCTTGTAATTATTAAATAATTGTATATAATATATATAGACTTAAAATACATAGATCTTCTGGATGGATTTGAAATGTAGCTCAGTGATCACACCCTCACGACCAGAGACCAGCTATTGTCTCATTCCTCGAGCAATCAACATCCACTATTTGATATCATCAGAAGGAATTCTGGAGCCATTGTCTCTCTTTTCCTTACCCTAAATTCTAAAAGATGTTTCCCCGAGATCCGATAGCTGGTCCCCCACAGGTTGTGGCAATGCTGCTTGGTTCACAATGGTTTGTTTTGGTTTCATGACGTAAATGAAATTGCCTTGACTAAGTGCATACACATGTTCTCATGTTTCCTTTATTGCATTAATGTAACATTTAAAAATAATTTGACTTTAAATATTCATTTCATGAGATTGACTATTATATTTTATCGTAGTTGAAATAAATGTTGTTGAAAAGTTATTAACAAAATCATATTTTAACATTTGGCCGATGAAAATTAAAACTAAGCTGGTTAGAAAAAAAATGAAATTTTAAAAATAATATTTTAAATTGTGATTGAAATATTTTTGAAATGAAGCCTAATATATTTAAATTACAAGTCTTTCCTTAACCTTGGAATCAATTTATTATTAAAATGAAAATTTTGAATGGTAAATGTGAAATTTACTTACTTACTATGCTGGCAGCAGTACATATCAAGTTTACAGCATGTGACACCTATTGGGCAGCATCTTCTAGGAATGGAGCATCGTATGTAACCAATTGGTGGAGGCTTTCCTGACATTAAAATATACTAATAATAATCATAATAAAAGAAATGGATAACCCAAAGGTTCCTTGCCAATATCAACACTCCCTGTCTTCACACCTCCCTTAAATGTTTACCACACCGCCCAGAATATATTAGCCTTTTAGGGATTCTGAGTATTTCCGTTGAAAAATTTGTGAACATTTTCACAATCACAATATTTTCCCTTGCAGCATATTTTGTAGAAAAGTAAGTGAAAGTAAAAATCAAACGCCTGCTTTAGCAAATCATCCATAGACGCTCATTGCTGAACAGGTAAGGAAAACATATTCCTATCAAAGAATTGAAATTTTTTTTTTAAATCTCCAAAATCATTTCGTTTTTTATGAGTTAGAAAAACTTGAAAATCTCAAATACTACTGCATATTCCTATAATTTACTAAAAATTCTTTAAATTTTAATATGAAAATTTTGGAATGCATTATATTATAAATTTTAACTTGATTTAAGAAGTTTTCATTATTATTTTAAATAAAAGTTAAATATATAAAAGTGGTCTGGTTTATATAATATATAATAATAATAATAATAATAAGGCTTAGCGAACCCGAAGGTTCGATGCAGACACCACCAATCGCTTGTTACACACCTCCCTCCACCGTTCGCCGTCCAAACCCAGTCCCTTCAGATGGGCTTTAATGCAATCTTCCCACCTTCGCTTCGGTCTACCCCTCGGACGCTTACCATTCGGCACAGCAAATATTAACCTTTTAGGAATTCTCTCGTTACTAAGCTCAACAACTTTACAAGCCCATTTGATTCGCCGCGATGAAATTACCTCAATTATATTACCCGGATACAGCTCACGCAATTCGGCGTTGTGTAACCGTCTGAACTCTCCGGTTAACTCATCCTTCTTCGGTCCGAATATTCTTCTTAAGACGCTGCTCATCCCTTAATGTAAGCGGCCAAGTTTCGCATCCATAAAGAACTGTAGGCAAGATAATTGTTTTATAGATTCTAATTTTTAGTTCCGATAGCTACTTCAACTTCCTCTTTACTTGGTCCTTCTATTAACGGTTCAGCACTCTGGTACTCAGAAGGAGGACACAGATCATAATTTCCCGTATTTAAAATATTGTCAAAGTGGTCCTTAAACTTATTCAATATGTCAACCGGATCGGTCAGAATATTGTTATTATCATCCCTAATTCCAGACGTTACGGGCCCTACATATTTACGTGATCTGTTTATACCTTTGTACATGTCTCTTACGTTATTTTCGATTCTATTAGTTTCTATTTCAATTATTTTATTTTTAAGATACTCCCTTTTTTTATTTTTGAGCAATTTTGTCGTTTCGTTCTTTGAGATTCGGAAGTATTCCAGATTGTCTTCGCTAGGATTATTTAGAGCTTTTAATTTAGCGGCTTTTCTTTTTTCACACATGTTTAAGCAATCTTCATCAAACCACGGTTTGTTATTCTTATTTTCCTTTTTTCCTAGACACGAGTTACCGACCGCTTTAATATTATCTCTGATCTCTATCCATAACTTGTCAATATCCTCGTGGTCCTCGTCAGGAAGCTCTAAAGCTTCAAACCTATTCTTAACATCTAGCTCGAATTGGTTTCTAATTGATGGATTTTTTAATTTTTCCAAATTATAATTCTCAAAATCGAAACGGTTTTCTTTTCTCTTTTTTATATTAAGTTTTTGTCGAAGTTTCGCGATTACTAATTCATGATCCGACCCACATTCTGCTCCGCGATAAGACCGTACATTAATTATACTGCTTTGCCAGCTGTGTTGTATCAAGACATGATCGATTTGATTTCGTGTTTGCGAATCTCCGGTGATGTCCAAGTATATTTATGAATATCCTTATGTTTAAACGTCGTACTTTTAATTATCAGGTTTTTCGAGATGGCAAAGTTTATCAGACGGATTCCATTATCATTACTATATTCGTGCAAACTTTCTTTACCAATCGTCGGAATATAAACTTCTTCCCTTCCTACCTTTGCGTTCGCGTCACCTACAATTATTTTCATGTAGTTTCGCGGTAGTTTATCATAAACCCATTCGAGTTTATCGTAAAATTCACTTTTGACTTCATCGTCACTGTCTTCGGTCGGACAATGTATGTTTATTAATGCGATTTTAAACCAACGTCCCTGAAATGTAGCTACCGAAATTCTATCACTAAAGAATTGTACGTCCCTCAAAGCGGATAGTAATCTACTCCTAATTAGAAACCCGGTACCTAAACAATGATTCCCGCTTCTTCCGTACCAAATAGTGTATTTCCCTTCTCTCATCGAGCCCTCCCCTGGCCAGCGAACCTCTTGCAGAGCCACGACATCCAAATTGTACCCATTTACCTCATTCGCGACCGATTTTAGCCCCCCTGCTGTGTTTAAACTCCTTACGTACCAATATTTAAATCCCTATATTTCAACTTGCGCCATGAATCCCCTAAAGCAGTCCCCACCCGGAGACCCGAACGGGGGACTAGTTTACCTCCGGATAATGAGCGTTTTACCTTAGGGAGATCCATGACTTTTTGTGGTGTTTGGTGAACTAAAGATATGTGAGTAGGGCGTTCAATCCTACGTCACACCCTCCAGCAAGTCTGGTGGGCCCCTACCTCCAGCAAGTCTGGAGGTCCCCTCCCTCCAGCAAGTCTGGAGAGCCCCTCTCATTGTTGGTCAGCGAGTCCATCGGACTTAGCCGGGAGGAACTTCCAAGGAATGTCCACCGACCATCCCCGCATCCGCCACCCGTGGAACGCTCCCCATACGCGGTAATGAGCCCGCGCTTATATAATATATAAGTACCAATAATTCCTTCCTTATTTTCTATCTTCAAATCTACAACGTTCTGCATTATCTCATTCCCTATATATTAGAAGATTGACCAATTTATCAATTTAAACAAATATATTTGATTAGTTGTCTGTTAATTATTGATACCTTATTCTGTATAGAGAAAAATTAATAGATGTACTATCCAAGTGTTTTATGTTGTTGTTAAGTGATAGAAAAGGATATTAAGTCAATGACTTTTTTTAAATTTTCTTTTGTTAATTCATTGATAGTATTTATAACTATTAAAAAAAATACATCTACTAAATGTGTATTCAGGAATATAAAGCATGAAATTTCTTGTTGAGAAACTGGTAGTACTCAAATAATAAATTTACACAAGGTCACCTTCTTTTCAGATCCCTTGGAGGGTTATCAGGGATTGAGAAGGAAGCAAGGTTTGAAACAAGATGGTTAGGATGGTTCTGAAGTTTATTAAGGAAGGATAGGTATTTGGATTGGGCCAAATCGGAATCATATGGAACATTAAGATCATTACGGATGATTTTATTTGTGACAAAGTAAGGAGCGATTTTACAAATTGAGGATTTTACAAAGGATTTCGGGTTGTAAGGATTGGATACAAGAGGAATTCGATGGTTTAGTGGAGCCTCAAAATTTGATTCTGTAAGTTGAAATAGTTCTTATTATTGTCATATATATGAGTCTTTTGCAATTGATTGAAAGCTTCGAGCGTTTGTCTAGGAAGTGCTGGAGTAGTCGGAAATGTCGAGCTGCTTCTTGTCTTGTATGAGGATTCCATGTGATTCATTTGTCCAGGTGGAGTCCTAGGTAACGGATTTGTTCAACTGGGATAAGTGGAGAATTGTTAAAGAATACTGTAGGACAGGAGATCATAGGTTTACGATATAGGTTAAAGGTAATTTGATGGGATTTATTTTAATTTATTTTAATTCTTCAGTTTTTACACCAGTCTTCAACGTTTGTGATATGTGATTAGAGAGTTTGGGATGAAGTTAATGGATCATTATTAACACATAGGATTAATGTGTCATCAGCATATGTGGTGATGACAGTATTAGGATGGTTTGGGATGTCAGCTGTATAAACTGTGTTAAGGATAGGACCCAGGAAACTACCTTGAGGAACACCAGCAGACTTGGAAAAAAAGGATGAATAAGAGTTGTTGTGATTTACTTTAAAGCATCTATCAGTAAGGTAGGAACCGGTAATGAGGAAATATTTAGATGGTAGAAATTTACGGAGTTTGTACATGAGTCCCGGATGCCAGACTTTATCAGACGCCTGTTCAACGTCGAGAAAGACTCCGGTGCAGTACATTCTGCATTCTAATGCAGAGGGGACTACGTCTACCACAGGATGAAATTGGTGGATAGTGGAATGGGATGTGCGGAATCCAAATTGGTGATCTGGGATTATGCGGTTAAAATCTAGAATGGGGTACAGGCGTTAATATGAGTTTTTCCAGGATGTTGCTCATGATGGGTAAAAGAGAGATAGGAAGGTGATTCATAGTGAATGAATCATAAAACCTAGGGAATGTTGCTATTAATCATCCTAGAATATAAATGAAAATTTAAATAATAGAAATATTTAGGTTGTAATGAAATAGTTACGTACATACTTATTGGCCTTAGGCTATAAGTACCAACTAGTTGAATTTTATTTATCGATTTTAGTTTACATATTTTATTCATTCATGGATCTTAGTTCTTATCAATTTTAGTTTTTTTAACTTAAACTTATTGTGGACTGCTGCAGCACTTACTAGTCAAACGCTCTAAACTTCCAATTATTTTCGAAAGACTCATATATATCACTATAATAAGGCCTATTTGGACTTGGACAATCCAAAATCCTTCGTAAAATCCTCAACGCTCCCTACTTTGTCACAAATAAAATCATCCATAACGACCTTAATGTACCACATGTTTCCGATTTAGCTCATTCCAGATACCTATCCTTCCATAATAAACTTCTGAACCATCCGAACCCTCTTGCTTCCTCTTCTGTTCCTGATAACCCTCTGAGGCGTCTGAAAAGAAGATGGCCTCGGGACCTTCTAATATAGAAATATAATTGGAGTACTGCCAATGGGTAGTTTCTCTTCATGGTGTACATGTCATGTTACTTGTTTCATATTTACTAGTTGTATTTATCACTTAATACAGTTGTAAATTTCTATAATAAAGACAAAAATTATTGGGGGGAGGAGGAAACGATATTTTCGCCCCCTCAACATTTTTATTTCGGGGAGGGGGATAACTTTCTCCTTGTAGTCTGCGCCTATGTCGTTTGTTGATTTTAATCTTTGGGGCGGAGCGGCTGAACAGGCAAACGATAACCTGATAACCTAAGTTTGGGAGAGAGAAACAATTACGAGTTCAAATTGCGGTGCCTGGTGGGACTTTTGTGACCCCAATAAAGATAAAAAAAATGCTGATTATAATCTGGAATTATATTTTCAATGTTACATTTAATTTTTTTTTTGTATAGATTGTTGTATGTGCTGTTACATTTTTTCATTGATATTTGATGTATTTAGTATATTGTAATTTTTTAGATAAAAAGTTTGACTTCAAAATGGGCAAAGTTGGATAATTTTGGCGATTAAGTTTTTCTTCAATTGTAAAGTATTTCAGGAGATTCATTTTCGACCTTGATAAACATTATTATTTTTTTCTTCTTTATTCAATTATCAAATTCTTTAGCATTTTTTTTGTAACTGTATATAATCTGAGATGATTATTTTTTTTTTGAAATAAAGTATATTAAAGGTACTTTAAAGGAAGACGTATATGAACATTGGTTTGATAATTATTAAATAAATCTTGCTTTGATAATTATTATTATAAATTATGGGTGTTACTACAATAAATTTGACTACTGTTATCTAACTATAATGGCTCTAAAAGATTTTTTGGCAGAAACACGATCAAAAAAATTCACATAGAGCATTACATCTTTCTCATAAACCGGCAGAAAAAAAAAAAAAAATAACCGAAAATATAATGCTCTTAGAATGAAAATTACGTAGTTTTTTCTTCTCCTGAAAATTTTTAGTTTTTGTTCTTGCAGGGTTTTGCAGTGTGATTATCGAGATATTACATCTAAAATGTCTGCAAGGTTAAATTAGTTTATAATTAAAAACATAAAAACACTATTAAATTGAAATATTTATCATTTTTCTAAAAATCTGTCTATTTCGAAGATTTTTTCACAGCACTGCATATATATATATATATATATATATATATATATATATATATATATATATATATATATATATATATATATATATACTATTATTTTAAATAACTGCTATCCTAAATTCGCTTACCAGGATCAACCGATTCAATAATAACGTTGTCCACAGATAGCCTATGGTCGTGAAGACTGCGTTCAGATACTTCGGCAACTCCTAGCCTTAGATGGAGGCAAAATAAAAGAGTCACAATGAGAAGATATGGTGGCATGATTGCAAACTTTATAAAATGGTGTCTATTCCTTGAAATGGAAAGCTTTTAAATACTCTTTATCTTTAGGGTTATTCATAGATTAGACGCAATTGTGGAATTAGTCAAATATTAAAAAAAAACTATAGTAAAATGTCTTAATCGCCTAATATATTTTTTTGTAACTTCTATCATTAAATATTGAAGATATGCTCAAGAATATAATATTTCCATTTATTTAGTTCATTACGACATTTCGAGCTCATTTGCAAGTTATTAAAAATGAATGACATAACTAACAAAATTTCCATCCGTACATATATTATTACAGTAAATCGGTTTTGTACCAAATATAAGCTCCTGTCATGCTCAAATACCATGAATGGGGTACCGTTGGATTCAGAATTTCACCCGGGGTTAGCGAATCGTATTCTCCGCTTTTGTTTTTCTTTCTAAAATAAATAAAGTCGATACAAACATTTTGCTAGGCTTCAATAATGGAACGGTGGTAGGTCTGGAGATCGATGGGACAAATTGGACCTTGAAGATTTTGATGCGTACAGCAAGACCCGGATAGTTCCTCCGGAACTCTGGGATCCTGCGTTTTAAGCCCAAAACGTACCATTTTCGAGATAACGCAAGCTATAGGGTTCGCATCCACACAACCTGACGTTAATTGTAGTCCTGTCATTGGATACATGTCTCATTTCGTCGACTTGAGGTCTCTATGATCGGGAGAGGAGGAGTTTATATTATTTATCGATGATGTTTTTGATCGCCAAGCCATATCATCGTTAATTTTTCAACAAATCTCAAGATTGAGCCACCAATTTCGAAAGCTTCCTTCTCCTTCAGGTGGGCAAAATAGTCCAATCATTCCGAAAATTCAGGCAAACAAGTTATGAGAAAAAAGAAACTTTATTTGCGAATAACTAAAAAAATTAGACACTTTTCCCTTGGTCCCCATTGATTCCCATGATTATATAAAACATTACTTAATTGTCTACAAAAGGAAAAAAAAATCATTGAAATCGGACAATTTTCGCAAAGATACAGCTTATTGAAATTTGTAAATATGTTGGTTCCAAACAAAAATGAAGATTTAAATTAATTTTGTTTCCTTTGTGGATTATATTCATGGATAAAGTAACAATTTATTTCTTTATCTTTTGATACGTTGCATTATTTTCTTTTCTTATTAATTTGGCATTTGATAACAATATGCTGTGCGAATTTTTCGCACGGGCCTACTAGTATTTTATAATTGTATTACTGTTTATTTTTTTTACAATAATATAAGAATACAACAATGTTCTTCGCATTAATCAAATGCATGTCAATTAAAAAAATGTGGTGAGTCCACTCACACGAGTTTCCTACATATTTCAGAAAAGTTTTTATATCTTTACATATGTTCATGAAGAAACAAAAAAAAATTGAACTAGATTTATTTTCCTGAAAATTGATCAAAGAAAAGATTTGAGTACGATTTATTTGATAAACTAAAGCAATGTAAACCGGCTTAAGGTAGATTAGTGTAACAATTTCAGTAGTCGCTAATATTGCTGAACAAAAACTGTTTGCCATAGTCTAATATTGTCAAACAATAATTTCCATTAAAAGTAGAGAAAATAGTGAAGTTTATGTGATGCGGGCATCAAATTTTCTTACTTTCACTTAGTCATATTTTTTCTCTCATTGACTCCTTTGTGAACCAGGATATGAACCCGCAATCTTACATTGGAAATTGAATAGCTGTAACTTCGTTAATAGTTGTCCAAAATGAACGATTTTTATATAGTTTTGTAGGGAATTTCATTACCTTTAAAATATCAGGCTAAACGGTTTCTTGGCACAGACAGACAGACCAATGGCTAAAAATGTGTTTTTCGGACTCTCGGAGTTTTATTATAAATTTTACCGTATAATATATACTTAGAGAGTTAGGCCCCATAACATTTTTCTTATCTTTATAGATAGTCTATAGAAAAAACATGTTTTATTTATTACGCCCAAGCTATTGCACATGGAGCACCGAATTTCTTAGCGCCGATAGTCACAGTACTCAAAACACTACAAAATAAAAAAAGAAGCAACAAAATCGGTTCAGTAGTTCCCGAGAAAATCTTGGCACAGACAGACAAACCAATGACTAAAATTGTGTTTTTCGGACTCAGAGGGCTCTTTTTTACTTCCTAACCTAGTATAGGTAACAAAGTAAAAACCGCTCCTTCTCCTTACATTGTTCAAAATAGACTTAAGGATATATAAGAGGACGGACGTTGTCCCATCAATTTTTGCTTCCTCACTACCGAAGGTAAGGAAGCTTTGTATTCGTACGAAAGGTTAAAAAAAATTGTGCTCAGAATCGAAAAATTAAACTATCGTTTTAAATTTTAGACATCAAGGATCAAATTTGGTTCGGCGTCTGTCTATCTGTATTCAAATCGATACATTTCACCTACTATGGTTAATTTAATTTTCATCATATTTTCAAGGCATGTGCGGATTGGTGTCTAGATGGTCTCATATCAATTTCATCAAATTCCATCTAACGCTTCCGCTTACGCACGCGCAAATGTATTTCCTTAGCTATGCCAATATTTCAGAAACGGCCCGTTCGATTTGACTCAAAGTAAAAAAATATTCGTATGGTAAAAAAATAATACTGCATCAATTCCATTGCATTCCTTCAACTGCTTTCTCTTAAATATGCCCAAAGTATTTTTCGTGATACGTTGATTGCTCTTAATGATCTTCTAGACTCCGTTATCCCTACTTTCCATCAATCAGATCATTTTCATTAAAAATTATATCGATGACCTCCTTGTTGTTAACCCAGACAGCATTCCTCAAATTCTTTCCACATTCAACTCTTACCATCCCCGTCGTTAACTCCCAGAAGTTAAAATTCGCTCCTCTTCTTAGACCTCCTAATAATAAAAAAACACTGACTACTATATTTCTACAAAGTGCTATACTAAACCCACGTACTCAGGCAAACTACTCAACTTTTATTCCCAACATCCATACCACCAAAAAATCAATACCGCCAAAAACCTTATTCACCGATCTCTCTCTTTATCTGATCCACAATACCACCAAGCCAAGCGTGTCTAAAATATACTCCTTTCCAATAATTTTCCTCTCAATACCATACTAAACTTTTAAACTGCGATACAACCAAAAAAAGTACAACCTCCCCTTCCCCAAACTCCCCACAATCACCTACCATTCCTTTCATATAGAAATCTCTTCCCTATATTCCTATTCACTCAGATAATAAAATTCCTTAAATCGACTATAAACAACTTACGTCTTGACCTCAAGTCCCATAACAAACTTTTTTTCCTTTTCACCAACTTGAAGGATCCCATACTCTTACAACACCGTTATAATGTAGTTTACCGAATACCTTGCTCTACTCCTAATTGTAATAGCTCCTATATTGGTGAAACCAAAAACCATCTTAAAACCCGCATTTCCCAACATAATGCCACTGACCGCATCTATTGTTTTTATTTTTTTTTTATTATTATGTTTTATTATTATGTAATTAAATCTGTACCTCTAGCATTTGACAATGACGAGTCTACATATTAATCATTATTTAAAGACACTGATATTTTATATTGTCAGCTTTGTCTTTTCTTTTTTAGCAGAAACACACCTCATTTTAAAGAAGAACTCAATGTATTTTTTAGTATTTTATTTTTCAAAAGTGTATAATTATAATTTTTCCTACTGTACATAGTCTTAAGTGTTTTATCATAGTTTTAAGTGTTTTGTATATAGATTTTTTTTTTTTGTATATAGCTTGTTTAACTAATATTTTCTTTACTTTCTCTTTTTTATTATTGTTTTATTTTGGCCAGATGTAGTATTTTAATTATGTTCTACTTTGTTATTCTAAAGGGACTTAGTCCCACAATAAAGTTATTTTCTATTTATTATTTATTTATTTAAAACATCCATTACTTCCCGGAACTCTTCCGCCCATGAACTATAAGAACATGCCTTAACCCTTAACCATTCATTTTATTTTAAACCTCTATTCTTGCCACGGTCCCTAACCATGAAAAAAGACCATTTTCGAATCCTTCCACATTCACATGGAACAGAATCCTATTAATCATAAAGTAGATAAAAACTGCATTTCTTTAACATATAGGTACATTTTAAATCATATAAGTGAAAAATAACTTATTTAATACATCTTATTATTTTTCATCTATTTTCAATTTTTATTGATTAATTAAATTTAATCGTTCATTATTTTTAAGTATTGCCGCTTTGTATGATCTCTCTTTTATTTTTAATTTTATATTCACATTCTCACATCTCAATGTATGGTCATCCGTTTTTACTTTGTATTGATTGTACTTTTTAACCATAATGTCTCAATATTACCTAATATTTAAATTTTCTTACATATGTACAACCAAATATAATTATAATTATTCATATATATTTTTACTTTCACTTACGTATATATGTAATATATAGTAACTGTAAGTATTGCGATCGAGAAAATTTTTGAATCTGAGTTTTCAATGGAAATAGACATTTTGAGGTACCCTGAGTCGAAATGACCAAGTCCCGAAAAATGGTCTGTGTGTCTGTGTGTATGTTAGCAGTCTAGCTCAAAAACGAAAAGTCCTACGAAACTGATATCACTTATATACTGATATCAGTTAAATATGAAGTATTATATATGTAGAGGATATAAATAAATGGAAAATAAGTATGAATAAAAATAAAAATAAAGGAGAATATAAACAATATTTTTAACTTACATGCTATATTCTCCTTTATGTTTATTTTTATTCATACTTATTTTCCATTTATTTGTATCCTCTACATATATAATACTTCATATTTAACTACATTGTCACCCACTATGTCTCTGATACCATCTTTTATTTCTGTATCTGACAACTTCTTATTGTTTTATATCTACTTATATTTATTTTTTATTTTCAACATGTTTCTTATCTTTTGTAGCCCTGAAGACGACCTGC